GCGATCTTGTGGAAGTTGCCCGAATGGAGAGTGCTGAAAGCTAGATCAGGGTAGGCCGATGGATGAGACGGAATACCATGGGCTCTTACTATGTCTGGATCTGTTGGAGGATCTGGATCCATGGCGTCTGGTGATCTGTGGAGACTCAAACCTGGTGATCTGACAAGTACGAGGAGAGATCGATTGTAAGGCGCCAGGCCTGACATTGTTACGCCAACGAGCCTTGGATCGATTACGTACATGGCCAGATCATGAACTATTGCACGTCAAACGAGATTGGAATGGGAGCACTGACAGTCTAGCAAGCGCTGCACTACAACGGCAATGCGGGGTCGAGGTAGAGTCTGACGCAGAGATCCAAGATCTCATAACGTTAAATAGGTTGGACGAGAGTCGAAGAAGAGATCGCACAGATATCAGCTATGACGACCCGATCTAAGGCTAGATTGGGAGTGCGTGTGGGATCTGATCCAAACTCTCTACGAGAAGAAGTCGTGAGAGAGCTGCGGATCGAGCGGATCCGGCAAGTGCAGGACGAGGAGTCGTGGATCATGGGCTTGAAGAAGTATTTGGTCGGGGAGATCCGGGATCTGACCCAGGAAGAGGCTAAGATGTTTGGATCTATTGCTATGAATTATGAAGTGGATCAGTTGGATCTACTCTTCTATTGCCCGACAACTAAGGAAACTGCCGCAGATCGAGATAAGCTGATGCGACTAGTGATACCTGAGACTCTTCAACAGGACATTTTGCACCACTATCATACGAGTCTGCAAGGTGGTCATCAAGGAGTTGGTGGCACCTATGATCGGATCCGTGATCATTTCCACTGGAGAACTGTACAAGCGTGTACAGCGATATGTGGGGGAATGTGTTGGCTGTGAAACAGGCAAAAGAAGACCTCAGATCCAGGGCGAGTCACCTGGTAACCTTCAGGCGACATACCCATTTCAGATCATTGCCATGGATCACATACCTTTATTGCCTAGATCCTGCAACGGCAACACTGAATTGCTGATCTTCGTGGATCTATTCTCGGGATATGTGATCGCCAAAGCCAGCGCCTCCAGATCCGCTCTGACAATCGCCGAGACCTACGAAGAATGTGTCTTCTGTCGATTTGGCGCGAGCGAGGTGATCCGACACGATCGGGAACCAGGCTTTATGTCTGACTTCTTTAAGTCGTTCAACAAGATCTTGAGACAACACTACTATGGCGTATCGACCCCAAGCTAATGGATCTGCAGAACGTATGGTCCAGACAACTACCAGGGCTCTCAAGATGTATGTGGAAGATCTAGATCAACGCGATTGGGACGAGTATGCTGAACGACTCACCTTTCCGATCAATACTGCAAGAGACCGGATCCAAGGTGAAACGCCTTTCTACATGATACATGGCTGGGACCCTAGATCTACC